ATGTATTCTTGTTGTAGGCTGCAGTAATAAATACATTAAAAAATGTTGTTTTTATGTTTTAGAACTCTTTCAGTAGAGCCTACCCATCTCTGCAGACTTTGTGACATTTCATTCAGGTACATGTCTTTATCCAACTCAACTGTCAAACTGTCACAAAAAGAATGCAAAACTCTGATCCTAAAGCATATGAATGCACACACAACTAGTTCTTCAGATACTTGTCCAAAAGTGAAACTCATTGCTATTTGAAACTTATTAAAATCTCACTTAAGAAACTATAGAGCACAGCTGTCTAACAGAACCTCCTACAATGATAAAATGTCCAGTATCTGAGCTATTGTTTTGGACATTACAGATACAGATTGTTAAGCCTAGTGTGGTCAGTGGACCACAATAATCATCACAGGAATCACGTAGGAGCTTCTTATAAATGCAGAATTACAGGCCTGACTCCAGGCATAATGAATCAGATTGACCAGCTGATTCACATGCACAATGAAATATGAAAAGCACCAATCTAAAGGACTGGTTCTTAAGGGACACAGTACCACTGACTACTACCATAACCAGAAGAAATTTATAGGACACTTGATTATAACAGTTATAGGTGGAGTACTCCCAGCATTATTAGGGATAAGCAATATATAGATACACACACTGAAGAGCTAGTATCACAAACAACATTCAAATATCCTGCCAGATATTTACGTAATTTTTTTAAAAATCTATAATATTGAAATCTTGAATCTAGCTGTATTACCTAACTTTATCTAACACTTAGTTTTTCAGTTTCAATATACTCTGAATTTACCCGAAATATCTAAGTTGAAAATACATATACTTTTTGTCCAGAGCTCAGTCCTAAGTATTATTCACCATTTCAGAGAAATTTAATACCTTGCATTTAGAGTTGTCACATTCAAATTGTTATTAGATATGGGTTCAATTATCTGACTACTTTCATTATATAGTTAACTTTTGGGCTAAAATTTTACTAAAAACTACTTCCCTCTAATTTCCCGTTATTATTCTATTGTTATTTCTATTATTCTCTAGTTAGCTAATTAACTTTTTAAAAACAAGCGGTAAGCAGGTTATATTGCCTGTAAATTTCATTTTAAGATGATAGGAGTATGCAATGACACATTTGCTTTTACATATGAAGTGAGGTGTTGGACAGATTTAAGAACCACTGGTTTAAGGATTTATGCAGCCATTATCATACCTGTAGAGTAGGGGCCCTTAATACAGGAATACAAGGTTACTCAGCCTAGAGAACCCATTGAATGGCTTCAGAACAACAGAAATCCTAAACAGTACATACAATTTTGTACACACACACACACACACACACATATATATATATAGCTACCCTGGAGGGTAACACAAAACTTTGTTCCATCAAAAGCTGTTAGATTAAGCACCATTACATTATAAGCTGAGACTGGATACACTGGGCTGGATCTCAAAATGTGGTCAAGCCCTGCACCCAATTACATTTATGGAACTAGTTTGCATCACTTCATCAGCCTATATTAACTATTAAAAAAAATCCCATGAAAGTCAGTATTACTACAGAATGTCAGCTACTGCATTATGCACAGTACGGGTACTGTTTTAGAGACCCATGGAAGAAGACCAACACTCTTTTCACACCTGCTCTGCACCAAGCACTGCACTTCACTCTGACACACATGGCCTCATTTAAGTCTCACAGCTGCCCTCTGACACAGGTTTCACTCCTTGTTTCATAGATGAGAAAACTGGATTTGAGAGCTCAACTAAATGACTAAACTTAAACATTGAATAGATGGCAGAACTAGAATCTGAACTGAGGCTGTCTGACCCCAAAGCATGCGTGTGTGCTTTTCTGGAGCAGGTTGCTGTTTTTTCTTTAACTTTAGTGTGGAGTAGCTACTGAATCCTGTCTTCCTTTGGTATAGCCTGCTGGATACTTACAACAAAAACTGTGTCCCACAAAAGGCATTTGCCCAAGCACAACATTAACATCTTTGAATGCTTCTCATTTTACCTGGTTACTAGAATGGGCGTTATGGAATGCATTTTGCACACTAACCTCACATTTGGCTTAGTCTTTTCTCACATTTTCCCCCATCTTCATTTTTTTAACTTCCTATAATAAAGTAAGAAACAAACAAAGGCATATCACATGCTGCTTTACATAGTACAGGAAATATATTATTAAAGTAGTCCTTCAGAGTGAGTACAAGCTTTGTTGGATGATTTAGAAAACACTTTGCAATCATTTTTATTAAAAACACCAAGTATCACTTTGAGAATAAGTATATAAGCTCCAGTATTTTTAGGTAGAGAACTCTGGTTACCTTGACTGCTTCCTAAAGAGTAGTAAAAGAAGTCTTAACATGCAGGTGCACAATGAGCATCTGAAGCCACGGCCAAAAAGCAGAGAGGTCAGTTGAAATGTCTTTTAGCATAAGAACCCAGACAGTACCAGGTACAATCAGAAGAAACTACAGTGGACTCAGACATTGTCTAAGTAGAGGGGAGAGAAAATAAATGATGATGCAAATCACACTGTTGACTGAACTGGTAATAAAGCCATCAGGTGGTACAGGGGTTAAGGGCTTGCTGAAAGTAAAAAGGAAATGAAAAGAGGGTAAGAATATTTGGTTTTTGTCAATATCATCACTACAAAACATTTAGAGTAAAGGTCAGCAAACTTTTTCTACAAAGGTCCAAGTAGTACTATGTTACACTTTGCAGGCTAGTCTGTCACTAGTCAACTCCATCTTCGTAGCACAAAAAACATCATAGACATATGTGAACAAATGGGTGAGGTCATACTTAAAAAAAAAAAAAGATTTACAAAACAGAATGCAGGCCAAATACGACCTATGAGCTGTAGTTTGCTGACCCGACAGAGAGGTACAATAGGCAGGGAAAAACATGGATCTGGAGCACAAGAGGAAGGTCATGGTTAAGGACAAAGATTTGGAAGTCACTGTCACAAAGTGACAGTATGGATAACCTAATAGTGGAGATGGAAAATATGAACAATTCAAGACAGAACCCTTACAAATAGCAACACTTTAAAATAAGCATGAGGAGATAAATAATTGGTGGTTTCCTGAAAGAAGAAAAAGTGTGTGAAATAGGAACTTGTGATTCCCTTAAATATCATTCTGGCTCAGTTCAAATCCCTTATGCTTGGAGAAATGCGGAACACTGAAATATTTAACCATGGTTATTATCTACAGGAAAAAAAGCCCAAATCTGTATGTAATACACTGACAAAGCAGGGTCACGCTAGGACAAATCTCATGCCTCATGTATCCTGTCAAGTATCCTACACCAAAAACAAATGTCAGGCATCATGTGCAGACCATTCACCCAAAACTGAGTCAAAGGTTGAAGACAAAAATAAACCCCCATGCCAAATTCTCTTAAAAACAAAACAAATACCAAGGGAAACTGGTTATGACAATATAAAGATGTGTTTGGGAAATGCTCTCAGTTCAAAAATTAAGAAGTTAAATTCATTACAAGGCTTGAAAGTAGAAAAAGGTCCAATTATCACTATTATTTGATTCAAGCTCTTCTAATGTTTACAGGTCTAAAATAGAATTACTAGCTTATTGCTTGTCTTTTGCAAAAAGTACAATCTAGCAAATAAACTATTTTACTTGTGCTTCAAACAATGTTGGCTCACTAGAAGAAAATAAAACAAAAATCAATCAGAAAAATATCACAAGGACCAAAATTGTAAAACTTGCAAAGTAGAACACAATCACAAGATTGGTGATAATCCTTGTATGAGGATTAGAATGGTCTGGATATGAAATGGGCAGAGAACAAGGCATGTTTAGTACTGCTGAAGAAAAGCAAATTGTTTTCTTTACAAATATGAGAAAAACTACAGTATACAAAGCTAGGACTACAACTCACACTAAGCAACTGTAAGGGCAAAAATTACAGGGAAAGGAAGGAAGGAATATAAGCAGTCCAATAAGGCATACATTCATAAAATGGATCACTAGACAATTAATAAAAATGCTTTACATGCATTATCACATGTAAAACTGTCCAGGATTATTAAATGAGAAAGCAATGCTAGCAAAATTATTTGTGCCCAAAGAAAAGTTACACACATGTGCTCACATATATGGTGTATGCACAGAAAATTTATAGACATTTATAAGAAATTTGAATGGTACCTTGAAAAAGAAGTGGGATTGAAGGAGGCAGGAAATTGTCACCTTCTACTTTTCTGTAGTGAAAATAAAATACGCACGTGTTATGTTTGGTCAAACACTAAAAGAAAAAAATCAGTTATTTGGGAAGGTGACTAATGAGAAAAATCACTATCTATAAAACCACACCAATGCAGACACAATCACATTTAAAATGCTTCAACAAACTCAGAAGATACGCTAAATGATAGCGAAACTTTTTTAAAAAGCACAATCTCATAACCAAAAAGAGCCATAGCCACAAAACTTTACTTGGACAATCATACAGGGTTCAGTTAAATAAAGTAGAAATTAAGTCTTTCAAAATTTGTAATTTACACACAAGGGTTTGGTTGAGTCTTCCCATAGTGTGATCTGTTCAGACTCAATGTTGAAAAAACTGGACGGGTCTTCAGAGCAAACATTTCATATTTACCTCTAGACTACTAATCCCCAGTGATTCTATTTCAATAACACAAACTTTTGTAGAACCTTGTGGAGAGATTTATTTATTTTGAATAGATGTCTCCTTTCAAAAGTTTAGAGCAGAGACCAGTCTGTTTTGTTTTCTGCTGTACACTCAACACCTAAAAGACAGTAAATAGAGGTATTCAATATACATACATATTTTGGAGGAAAGGTAGGGACATAACTTCTGCGCATAACTGTAAGGAATTACAAATTCTGAAGCAAAAGAAAAGGGGGCAAGATTAAAATGTAAAAATTAGTTCCTCTGGATTGTAAGACACACCACATGTGATCATATGCCCACAATTTCATTTTTTTTTAACTTCTAGCAGTGGAAGAAATAATCACAAGAAAATTAAAGTCGAAAACTAAACAAAGTACTAGAAGGCTACCTAATGTCTACTTTGAAACTCACAGCAAGCAAGATACTAAAAAGCATTCTTGCAGGATACTACAGTATGGCTGAAATTCTGACACCAAGTCCATTACCTGTGAGATGAGTGAGAGATAATATACTTGATTGTTTTGGGGACTGATGGGCAAATGAGCTGGTCTTGGCTACTCAGGATAACAACCTAAAAGTAGTGTCTCTCAAACTGTATGTGAAGGACCAGTTTTGAACCCTAAACTGCATCCCTGTCACAACTATACTTTTATAAAATATATTTTAAAAAATCAGTTACTAGAGAAATGATCACATACTTTAAAGCCACAGCTGTATGAAATTTCTGTAGACGTTTCCAGACACTCTGAATTTCTATACTGGTCTACTGAGACACTGGATAGTACTGACCTAGGGTTTTTCTTTTTTCTTAATGTCAACCTGACCCAAAATCTTGTATTTGTCTAGAGGGTCTAATTCTGAGTGAGAAAATTCAGCTGTTTTTCTCCTCTACTCAGTAATGAAGAAAATCCGTAACAATTAGAGAAAAAGTAGCACAGAGACTTGGCATTAACTTGTTTTAATTTTAAAATGTAAAACATCACATTATCACACTGCCTTAGTAAATTAAAATTATCCTTTGAATGAAAACTTCAGAATTTAAGAATCTCAACTCCTATCAACTTGAAAATTTTGCTTTATTTTGCCATTTATCTTAGAAGATAACAGGATGTAGACACTTAAAACTGTATATGAAAATATTCACTTAATCTATTGCAACTCTAAACTCCTGTACCTTTATCGCTATGTTCTCAAAACTCCCAAATGATTAGTTGATTGCTAACACAGTGAGCCGAGAGGGACTCTCTCCATCTCTTTTAAGTTTTACTACCAAAGGAAATAAAATAAAACATTCTGACCTATAAACTGACTACAATCTAGTGTAATTTACTATAGCCTATCAGAGAGGCTCTGCACTACTGAGAGAGTATGTGATTACAGGGTCTCTCAAACCAAAATTACCAGGACTCAAATCCACACTAACTGACTTAAATCCACACTGCTTCTGTATCTTCATCTATAAAACAGAGAAAACAGCACCTACATCAAAGGACTATTGTGCAGGTTAAAGTGCATGTAAAGTGCCTAGAATACTGCCTGGCATGTAACGAGTACTATGTAAGGATTTTAATTTGACTCTTACATACTATCCCTCAAATCCTTCTGTAGAATTGGTATTAACAATTAAATTGGTTAAATGAAATATGGCACATCCCTACAGTGAACTACTATTCATCTGTTAAAGATTATTTTAATTCTCTATTATGAAAATATATTTATTTATAATATCCTGTTGGACAGACAGGAAAAAGTAACTGAGAAAATCATGTACAGTCTAATCTTATACTTAGAAAAGATTCTAATAAAGTTGGAAAATTTGCAAGTCACTATGATACTCAACTGGCATTTGCCAAAAGTGACTCAGAATCATTCCTTCCTACCCATACTGGGAGAAAGACTTAAAATAAAATTATTATTCTAAGATGGTAATGATAAGGATAACCAAATGCTATAAATTAGGACTTTTCCAAAAAAATTTAGAACTGCGTACATTTAATGCGTTATTCCTCCTCTACCTCCAAAGTTGATACTTCCTAAAATGGACTGCCTCTTAGAATTAAGGAAATAAAGCATTAAAGCATTAATTTCTGATATATTCCTCCAATGCCACCCATTGCTAACACACCACCATCACTGTCACTTTTAAGCAAGCTCTTGAAGTGCTCACAACATTATCAACAAAGACAATAAATCACCTTAACCAATCACCCAAGGTACAGTATATTAAGATTATAAATACAAAAGATTCACTATTTCTAGAACACTGAACAAGAGGTGTTTGTGGTATTTAGAGTACTCAGATGGTAGCTTGTGGTACCCTTTACACTGTTATAAATTCTTCAGTGAAATCAATACAATTTCATGTTTACTTTATATAGGATTTTTGTCAAGCTTATCAGTTTTTAAATGACTGATTCATAATCACCACCTAAAGACAAAACAACTTCTCAACTAATGGTTTTCATCCTACCTACAGTTCAGCTTACCCTTTTGTCTGATATAGCCGATTTTATTTCACAGGATCTGAAATATACAATTATGTATTACAAACTGTTTTCAAGTGTGCTTTCAAATGAAACCTACAAAGAGTAGATCAAATTTTTAAGTTTACATAAAACCATACTATACCAATTTATTATAAATACAAGTCTTCATACCTGTTTATTCCATTCTATTTAGACAGCAACACTAACAAAATTCTTAATGCATACACCCCCACCACTTGTACTCTTTCTTTATGCTATCATTTTGACACTTAACAAAAGGACATTGCAATTCAGCAACCAAGTTTTACAACTACAATTCCTATCAATCAAATGGTGATGCACTAAGGTCGCAATTTTCATGAGTTTTTTTAACATATTAAGAGTATATTATTCACCTAACACTGAAGGACCATGCCTTACTTTATAAAAAAATAAAGATAGCCACATCAATTTAATTTCATATATATGATTCTACCTATTCAATTTATTAAAAATTGAAATAAACATAATAAACTAATGCTCCAAAACTTATACTATTCATATGGAAGACACTACAAGAGAAGACACAATAGAGACTGCCCTGCAATAAGAAGTACAAATTCCTTCTACAGAGATGGAGAAATAAAAGGACAAATCTAGTTGTCTAAAAGACAATTCACTGTACACATTTTATTTACAGTTTTGTACACTGTCTTAATATGAATGGGACCGCTTTCCTACTTGAGCCATTTTTTTTAACCAAAGCAAAATAACCTAAGTAATACAAAGTGTTAAAATACAGCATAAAGATACAAAAACAGACATACTAAGTCTAATTAGGAATGTAATTATGATGTTACATTTTTTATAATCCACAATTATGTTTAGGAAATCACACAAACATAGATCACTGATTTGAATGAAATGCATAAATTTGTAGCAAAGCTTTGTAGTTACAAAAAACAAAAATATTACCAAAGAATGCACAAAATTAATGTTTATTCCACCTTTGTGTCATATTCCTGGATCCTTCACCAATGTTACATGAGGAAAAAAACAAAAGCAAAACAAATGAAAAACTGAAATCAGAATCACTAATGTTATCAAGTAGGGAAACAAATAAATTAAAATCTAGCAGCCATCAGCAAGAGTACAGCACAGACAATGCTGTAAAAAGAAACAAAGAAAATTGCTAGAAAACTGTATGCATCATACTCTTTCAAACCAGCAAAATATGCTCCTGTGTACAATGGAACATAAACAGAATCTTTCTCCTGTACGATATAGAAATGCAAATTCTTTTTTTAATATTGTGGGTGGGTCAAATGTGTTTGTAATGGTTAATTATACTAAGCTATTACAGAGTGAGCCAGGAACACATTTATGGATTGTGGGGACGATGTGTACTGTAATTCTTTGATTGGGATAGTGGACACTCTAGACCAAAAAAAAAAAAAAATGAACACAGAAGTACAAGACAAAGGCGAATGAGACTTCTCTTATATCTTAGCAACATTTAGATGGAAATCAAATTTAAATGCAGTCCACTCTGCTTTTGAAGAGGCTTTGGTTCAGCTCCCAAATCTCGATTGCTTGACGCAGTCTCCTATGAGAATACTCAGAAGGTGTCTTCTTAAACAACAAACCTATTTTTAGTGGTGGAGCCGCTCTTAGTAGCTGTGTCTGCATGGGACTGATAACCAATCACTATCTTTGGAGGAAGTCCTAACCTTTCCTTGTATACCCTCCTAAAAGAAAAGAAAGAAAAGGAGCCATTAATTTTTATTTAAACACACATCCACCAAATTCAGTATTTTTATTCTTTATTTAAAAAAATAGTACCTAGAAATAGGAAATTGCACACCCTTTTCCTTTTAGCAAAATGTACTCTTCATTTTAACAACAATCTTAGTTTCTCACTTAACTAATATTTGAGAATCACGTACTGTGATAATCATTAATAAACTAATACTAAAGAAAGCAGGGACAGCCCATGGGCTCATGGTGTTTATAGTTTAGAATATTAGATTATTCACAAACAATCACAAATACATATGGTGGAGCTGTATCACATGTATAATTAATTTACACAAAATCAATTACATACACGTCTATTTTAACTTTCTGATCTAAAATGTTTCAATTATATTTTATAGATAAACCTTAGTAAATATTGTCTATTATTGCACAATCATATTTACTGATTAAGTATAAGTGAAGGTAATAAATACATTGTATCCTAATGTAAATCTGATAATAGTTATAATTTTAGTTATGATAAAATTATTTTTAGATACTTTTATTTGAGGTGAAGGTAGTGAAATCTTCTGGAGCACGGAGTATGAATGAATTGCCTTAGTATTATACTGGAGAATCTAGCTCCATGAAAATGTGTATCCCATTAGTTTTATTTCCTTTTGGTGCTTATTTTTAAAATTTTGCTCTTTTTTTCTCAGATACCAGATTCCTAACTTAACCTGTGATGTTCTCTGATGTCCCCAATTTTACCTTGTCAGCCTATCTTTCATATTCACTTTCTGTGAAAAACTGAACTCAAATGTTTTATGAGATTTCAAAAACTTTTAATATTGAGACAAAAAATTTCCAGAGGAAAGAAATTCATACTTAATCTCTTTAACCCACTTTCAAAGAAATATGAAACCTGCACAATTTAAAGTTTTGATGCTGACAAATTAGGAACATGATGACAAATCAATCAACTTCCTCTTATAGAAACTCTCTGGAGAATGAAACTTCGAAAATCCCCATACCTTTTAATCCAGAAAGGGATTATGTTCATAGCAGAATTCATAATGTTCGAAAAATCAACATACAAAGGAACAAACCAAACATATTGTGGCCTATGACCAGCATTTAATTTTAACATAAAATTTGAAGTTTAATTTTACTAATTTAAGTAATAAAAAGAAAATCCTAGCTAACACTGACTGACGTGCGGGGGGGATAAAACACAGGCCATTTTTGTAATTATAATATTTATCAAAATAAGTTAAAAAAAACTTAAACATGTGGGTTTTAAATATGAACAAAGTATTACCACTTAAATTTCAATGAAAATTTTATGTATAGTGTGCACATATGCACAAAATATACAAATACTATTCACCAAATTATTGAGTATTACATGTTAGCACTATGATTTTAAAGTAGATAAGACATATTCTCAATTAATAAATAACAAAATGCTACATGCCAGTGAGTGTCTGGTGAGTATATACTCCATTGCTAGAAAAAAGAAATTTTATGGACGTGAAAAAAACATGATCAAGACACTGAATATCAATAGCAGTTCAAGATTATATGTGTCCGTGAAAACAAGGAAAATAATGATCTAATTTATGATCTTGATCCTTTTATTGAAAAAGTACTTCTGCTTTTAGTTATCTATTTTAAAAATACAAGCAGCAAACTTACCCTATATGTGTAACAGCTTCTCTGTTCTCACATTCAGTAGTCCATATTGCTATCTTATCACCTTTAGCTCTAACATTAACAACAGCTCCACATACATCATCACTGTAGTCATCAAAAGATTCTCCAATAAGGCACAGCAGCTTAAAAGAAAAACCCAATCCCAAATTACATTCAGTAGATTATAAACAGCTTATTAAACTGCAGATGTCTCTTATATTTATATATATATACAAAACTAAAAAAGTTTTAAAATCAAAAGCTGACTTTTTAAAATTGTAACTTTATGAAAAAATCTGAGCCAGTATATGAAAAGCATGCAGGGATTAATGATAAAGTCTATGAGTAAGAGAGGAGATAAGAAAGTGGTAGTCATGGAGATTTGCATGGCCAGAGCAGGTATCTCTCCAGTCTTCAGGATGCTAATCTTCAGCTTCTACAGTTTTCTTTTGAATATTGTTCTGTTGGGTCTTATTTTCTGTAGATAATCTAAATCAACATTATGCTGTATACATTATCTAAATACTCAACAAGGCTGATTGCTCAGTGTGCATGCATTCACTGCCCTCTGTTATTTCTAAATTATGCTGAGGGAAATCTCAAATGTTGTCTTTGTTGAATGTATTATCTAGACAGGTAAACCCCAAACATGAATTTAAATTCTTCGAAGGCTCCAGGTGAACAACTAACCACTAGTGTTTTAGAGTACAGCTGAAAATAAAGTGACTTGCTGTTGATTATTACTATGATACGGTAAGTCTGTTGCTAGTACTGTGTTCCTCTCATGGCTTTAGATATCCTCATCCTTTATCACTTATTTTTTTGGCTAACAGAACAATGGTTTACTATTACAAAATTTCACTGTTTATTTTCAATAAACAAAAACCATGTTTTGACATAAAAATGTTTCAAAGCAGATGCTGGATAGATTTTTAAGTTGATATTTTAAATGTCTAAATTACATTTATATATATATATACAGTTCTTTGTGTTGGCTTTTTAAAAGTTCACTTGTTATTTCTCTGTTTAATATCAAGAACATTTACAGTTGTGTTAATTGTTTCAGCAAATTGAGCGAATAATGTCAAGGCACATAAAAGGTGATTTATTTTATTAATACTCATTTGTTCTGCTGCTTATACCTGCCAGCAAACAAACATTAATGGAATAACTGAGATAGCTGTTCATAGTAGATTAACTGTCTCTTGTTCTTGATAACTTTCATCAACACTTTCTAATGTGTTCTTTTTAATTGTGGTAAATATACAACATAAATTTTACCATGTTAACCATTTTTAAGTGTACTGTTCAATGGTATTCAGTATATTCACATTATACCACCACCCTACCCATCTCAAGAAACGTCACCTTACAAAACTGCAATGACTTTTTAATGTGGAATTCTAAAATGATATTTACTGATAACCTTTCCCCAAAGCAAAAACAAGTTTCTTGTGTTAAAAAGTCATTCATTTGAATATTTATTACTGATTAACTTAATAAGTGCTAACTATAACCAGATAATGTGCCAAGTGGTAGGGATACAAAAGAGACTATAACCCCAGCTCCTAAAAACTTGGGGTTTAAAACCTCTTATTAGAGAAAATGCCTATTAACTCATAATAAATGTTGTATGAAGCCAAAAGGTCCAACTTGTATCACAACATATAAGCTGAATGATATACCAAGCTACAATTTCACTGTTTGCTTCATTGATCTAAAAAGTTTGGTATACAAAGCAATAGTTTAAGAGAATTGTAAAAACTTACATCATAAAATATGAGAGGTTCTATAATTTTGAAATTAATGAAATGACCAGGATGAGCTTATTGTATAAGGTGAGTCCACTGCCAATCACTTTATGGATTTGTACTGTGGTGGAGGGTAAAATGTAAATAAGATTCACATGACAGAACAAAATTAAGTGCTGGCTTACATTTCTAGAGTGGGCATCCTTATTTCCTCCTTGATTAAGTAACATAAATAATGTCAATTAAGTTTCAGTACTCAAGAACAGCTTTATCATTTTAAAACCTTACTGTCTCTAGCCAAAAGCGATCCAGGTCACTTCGTCTCTGCTGTTTGTTCAGTGTAATTAGCCATCGTCCTCCACGTTTGTTTTTCTCATCTTCCCACATAGGCTCAATACCATCCTACAAGGTTAGGAGACAACACTATTAGATTGTTACATTATTGTTATGTTAACTTAAGACATCATCACTGGGAACAGCAAACCACAACGCTGTTAAGCTTTTTACTTTATTCCCATAAAACCATTACTGATGTAGTGGGGGAAAAAAACACATGAGACTTAAAGCCAGAGGCATGTGATTGCAGAATTAGATCCCTGACCTGGGCACTTATTAGCTATCAAACCTTGGGTTTCACTTAATTTGGAGGCTCTAAAACATTCTGAGTAACACCTTTGAGAAGCTATATGCATTTCTATGCCTAGAAAATATATATAGGAATTATGCAATTTCAGAGAGCTAATGAATATACCACCCACTGCCACCTTACAAAACTCACTTACAAATATCTCAGGGACTCACATTACCTCAGGTTAAGAATTCCTGGCAAACTCTGAACTTCAGTCTACTTAAATACATAAAGAATAGACTGCACTGTAGGACCAAAGCTCTCTCCAAATCAATCATACTATGTGCCCATCAAATAAGACTCTCAATTTTAATTGTTTATACAAAAATAGGGCAAAATATATTTATGCTAAAGCCTGGTAACACTAATTTAATTATTCTCCAAGCATCAGAGCATTAACTATTCTTAAGTTTATGGCAAGATTTTTTAATGACTACCTGAATGGTTGAGTCTTACACTAAATACATGAAATTAACAAGCATACCTTAAAAAGTGAGTAGTCACAGCCAGGCATTAAATTACTAGACAACTGGATATGGTTGTACAGACTAGGTAAAAGAAAAGGACAATTATAAACAGAATATGTAATGCGGAGTTTAGGTGCTTATATGTACATTCACAGAATAAGATAAAAATAAGATAAAAGCTCATGTTTACTTTTTTTCTATGCAATCAAGCTCTGAAGTGGACCAAATAGATTTTAATAATAGTCAGCTTTAAGAATCAACATATGATGATTTTAAAGAAAGTATTTTTAATAATTTTATTCTAATAAAAACATTTTGATGCATCAGTTAACTTAATACATACATATATAAACACAAAAAACTGAGAATAGACGTGTGAGGTGGCTTTAAGTAGATGAAAGAATTCGTGAAGCTCATGAGCAGATGTAAACACACAAAAAAGAAAAAATCAAGAGAAAGCAAGACAAACTTCCTGACCATCAGGATTGCAGGAGTGAAATAAACCAACATTATTATCCTTGAAAATAACCAAGAGTAGAACAGACCAACGGTTCCCCACTCAACCACCACAGACCATTACCAATCAGCCAGCATAATAATCTTTTGGGGAACTTAAAACACACACACACACACACACACACCCCAGTTTCATGCTCTTCTCCTTGGGATTTTAATTCCTTAAATATAGGGGGGAAGCATAGAATCTGTGTTTCTAAATTATTTCCCAAATAGCAATGTAACAGATTAACATTTAGGATGACTAGATTTCACTAGCCTGAAAGGAGAAGGCTAGATCGTAAGATCTCCCGACAGCAAAACTGTTATAAAACTGACAACAGAGTCAATGTCTCCAACGTCAGATACAAAAGTGATGATCTTAGCTATATGACTACAGACCATGAATGATGCTATTATCCTTAGTAAGATTCTCTTGGTGTAATTTTAAGCCAGTTTACGAATATTTCAAGTAGGGTTTTAAGAGTCTGGCATCCTTTGGCTCACACTCCACAGTGTAAAAACTCAAATCCAATTTGGGTGAGACAGCATAGGTCTGTTGGGTTGTTTTTTTTTAATGGTAACTCTTCCCAAACTACATTATCACTGACAGCTTCACTAGGCAAAAAAGAGACCTCGATACTAACTAAAGAATTACCACCACCACTTTTATAAAATTAATGGATAGTGTGGAAGTGACCTCCTTCAATGGCATTCAAGGTAGAAAAGATCAGTTTCTTTCTGCTGCCTCCTTTCTCCTTCATCATTCTGTAAGGTCACTTAGTAAGTTTACATACAGTGTGTATAATGGCACTTTTATTAAACAGAATTTTAACATTACATACTGGATACATTCAAAATAAAAACCCTAACTGGTTGTTTACCACTAAATTTGCCCCCCAAAAGTGAGAAATTAAGAAGTGACTTAGATATTTATAGAAAGCTGGTGGATTTACTTCTAAATTATGGTGTAAAAATCCACCAAGCTATGATATTGCTTACATACAACTAAAGTGTGGAGCCATGTTCTAATTAGACACCTACTTAAAATCACAATTATGTAAACTGGTGAAAGCCAAACAACTTTTTAACTTCTTTCTAACTCTGAAACAAAATCTCAAAAATATTTCAACTATTTTTCTTGAAGTTGATCACAAAGTATATTGGTATTAATAAACTATCATTGCAGATACTGTCACATTCTTTAACAAATGCTGAATTTTACGCAGTTCAGCCTTTGAAATCTCAGAATCCCTATCACAAGAAATCTAGATGTTACACACTGAAAAGAATTTGCAGAAATAGAGATCTAACAAAGCTCTGGAAAATCCAACTATGGGACAAATACATCTGAGCACCCAAGAAAGAGGATAAGCTCCAGCAATTTGTCAAAACTTCTAGGGACAATAAAAAAATCTCAATGAAGGATATCTCAGAACAAGGAAGAAAGAATAGGCAGAGCTGAAAGATGACAAGACAGAAGCTTTCAAAAACTGATGAGGAATAATCACCAGTTCAAACAGCTGTGAGGAGACAGATAAACAAAAAGGTGAATATTAACTATTCACCTTACCCTTCACTTTGTGGCTGAAACATAAAATGAAAAATTACAAAATGAATAAAACAACAATCATAAAATACAAAATGGTTACTTACGCCCAAAAGTCTTCAACAGTATCAAACTTAGAGATCAGCCGAAGGTTTGCTTGCCAAGTTTTGCTTTTATCATTTTTAAAAAACCAGAGTGCCCATCTAAAAACAGAAAGTGTCATCAACAACAACAAAAGGGTAGTTTTCATCCATGCTAAAAGCAGTATTACTCAAAAAAGCCAAAGAGGGAAGTAACCCAAGTGTCCACTGACAGGTGAACAGATGAACCAAATTAACAAAATGTGGTGTGGAATATACAATAGAATATTAAAGAGCTCTAAAAACGTAAGAACGTGAAATAAGCCAAACAAAAAAGACAAATGCTGTATAATTCCACTTATATGAGGTACCTAGAGTAGTCAGATTCAAAGAGAGAAAGTAGGGTGGTTGCCAGGGGCTAAAAGGGAAGGGGAATGGAGAGTTGTTGTTTAATGAGTATAGAGTCCAAGTTTTCCTGCAAAATAAGAGTTCTGGAGACTGTTTGCACAACAATGTGGATATACTTCATACTACTGAACTATACATTCAAAAAATGGTTAGGATGGTAAATTTTATGTATGTGTTTCACCACAACTGAAAATAAGTTAATTAAAATTTTATTTATAGTAGCAAATAATGAGTAATTTTCTCTATTTCTTTCATTTTAAAAGTATGGATTTTGTACCTACTATGTAACAGATTCTCTGCTATCCTTAAGAGATCCACTTAAGCTCATTCCAAAAGGGATTCAAAGAAATGTTGTAGAGAGGCAATTATAGTGTTCTAAGTGCTATGACAAAGATAATTAAGCACAAGTCACCTAAAAAAATAAAGCAGGAACACTTAACTGGAAAAGAAAGTAGGGAACAGGAAAGTTGAATTTACAGAAAAACAAGAGGAGAGAAATCAGAGTGCTAGGAATAGGGGACACAAACACACAAATGGGAGAAAAATAACAAAATAAAAGACCTGATTGAGTAATGCTACTACAGATACTCTAAAATAACATATTACTAGTTTCTATATATATCTGTATACATTTTTGCTGAAAAAAGATCTATTCTAATACTTTGAAGATAAACTCACGTCACATCAAAGTTACATTTAAATGTTATCCCAACGATTCATCTTCAGTAAAATTGTATTTTCTGAATTAAAGGGAATCTCATTTACCTACTGATAAAAATGTTGCCTGAAGACAGGTTTCCAAATGGACATATATTTCATAACTTCATGATTAATGCTTGCTAATCTCAGACATAAAAATGAGATGCATTTCAACACCTACTTAAAAAAACTATAATCTATTTGCTAACCAGTATCAGGGGAAAAAAAGCAAAGGCAGAAAAACTATTACACACCCACAGACAACGTCAAGAACTGTAATCTGTAACTCTAAAAATTGAGTCTTTCCTCAGAAAATTAAAAAAAGAACTACAATTTGACCCAGCAATTTCAGTTCTAGGCATTTACCTGAAGAAAACAAACAAGAACTTTAAAAAATATATGCATCCTATGTTTACTGCAGATTTACAGTAGCCAAGACATAGAAGCAACCTAAATCTCCATCAAGAGATGAAAAAAGAAAATGTGGTATATATAGTCAATGGATTATTCAGCCATTAAAAAAAAGAAGGAGGAAATCTTGCCATTTAGAAGATGGATGGACTCTGAGGACTACATGCTAAGTGAAATAAATCAGACAGTAGACAGGAAAAACAAATACCATATGATTTCAGTTATATGTGGAATCTTAAAACACAAAAGCAAACAAACAAAAACAAAAACAAACAACCACTCTGCCTAAGCTCATTGATACAGATAACAGACTGGTGGTTCCCAGAGACACAGGGTTGGGAGAATGCATGAAAGGTGTCAAATGGTACAAACTTCCAGTTATAAAACAAAAAAGTCATGAAGATGTGATGCACAACATGGTGACTATAGTTCATAATAGTGCACCATAAATTTCAGTTACTAAGAGACTAAATCCTAAAAGTTCTCTTCACAAGATAAAACACTTATAAATCCATACTATGATGGATGTTAACTAGACTTACTGTGGTGATCATTTCACAACATACAGAAATACTGAATCATTATGTTATATATCTGAAACTAATGTTATAACTCAATTATACTTCAATTTAAAATAATAATAAAATTTAATACAGTCTTTAAAAAAAAACCCACATTCAGCAATTAAACATATAAAGACTTATCCTAAGAAAGTAACTGGATGACTAAGCAAAAGTTTGTACAAGAACATTCCTAATTTTGGAAAATTTGGAAACACCTTATGTGCCTATCAGCAAGGGATTATTTAAGTCATAGTTCTCAAAATCTGGTTTGCAGGCCCCTAGAGGACCCTAAGACTCTTTCAGGAGAGCTAGTAAGTAAAAACTATTTCATAATAATGCTAAGACATTATTTTAATTTTTCACTGTGTTGCCATCTGCACTGATGATGCAAAAGCAAAGGCTAGTAAATCTACTAGTGTTGCAGGCAAGAATCATATAGTGGTACCAACTCGTACTAGTAGTCACTATGCTTTATTATTACCAACTCTTATAGTAATAACAATGTCCATTTCAGTTAATAATGCCATTATGAAGCAGTAAAAATAATTGGTTTCATTAAATTTCAATCTGTGTACATGTTTTTTTCCACACAAAAACACTTCTGCATACCAAAATACAATTCTTAGGCAACTGAA